ACCCAACTTCTCTCCATCTTGGAGTCTCCTTATGCTACCTGTACTTTGAAGAGTGTTTTTATTATTATTATTATTTTTTTACTAAATTGTGCTGCCCCACCCACCTTTGCCACTGGCATTTTAAAATAGAAAGGTTTCCTAAGGAGAATTTTTTTTTTTTTCACTAGCCAAGGGGAAAAACAAGGAGAGGCACAAATACCTGATTTCAAGAAGGAAGAAACCTATGCCTGGAGGCCTCTGAATAACTTTCCCCAGCAGGCTGAGTTCTCCCAGGGTATTGTTTCACCAAAATACAGTCTTTGAATGGGTCTCTACCTTAATAGACTGGAGGGAAAGTTTCCAACAGATCGTTTTGCTGATAGCTTTGATTACTCAGAAAATTTCAAAAGCTTTTTGCCAGAGGGGAGCGAACATAGGGAGGAAGAGAGAACTCTTCCATGAGTGTGCCATGACTGGGGAACCCTTTTGAACAAATAATAGTGCCAAAGGCAGTGACAGCCAATTTTTCCCTCCTTAAATGCTTCTCAAATTATAGTCCTTGGATCACTAGCTAATATAGATAATCTAACAAGGTCTATGTTGTCTCTCAAGATATTAATATAAAATCTGAACTTGAAATACTCATCAAAATGTTTCATTTTGCTGAACGTTTTCTTTTTTAAGACAGAGTCTTGCTCTGTTGCCAAGGCTGGAGTGCAGTGGTGCAATCTTGGCTCACTGCAACCTCTACCTCCTGAGTTCAAGAGAGATTCTCATGCCTCAGCCTCCCGAGTAGCTGGGACTACAGGTGCACCACGATGCCGGCTATTTTTTGTATTTTTAGTAGAGACAGGGTTTTAGTAGAGACAGACATGTTGGTCAAGCTGGTCTCGAGCTCTTGGCCTCAAGTGATCTGCCTACCTCTCGGCCTCCCAAAGTGCTGGGATTACAAGCATGAGCCATAGTGCCCGGCTTCATTTTGCTGAATATATATATATATATATATATATATATATATATATAAATTTAAAAATTTTAAAATCTTTTAAGAGACAGGGTCTGGCTCTGTTGCTCAGGCTGGAGTGCAATGGCACAATCACAGCCCACTGCAGCTTTGAATTCCTGGGCTCAAGTGATCCTCTCACCTCAGCCTCCCAAAGTGCTGGGATTACAAGCATGAGCCACTGTGGCTGAGTATTTTTTGTTATGTTTGACAGTACCAGCTGTCTTTGGGTCTTCACCTCTGCTGAAGTCATTTGAAGAAACAAATCTAAAGAAACATTGCTTGGCAGAGGGTAGGAGAGAAAGGTTAGGACAGAAAGCATCAGGATGATGCTCCAAGAAAGGGACTGTCAGAACAACAAGAGGCCTACAGACAGGAGAAAACATTCAAGAAAATATATCAAGGTATTCTTTGTTCCTGCTGAAACATCATTAATGTTAGTGTTTTCAGAAGCCCACTCAAATATATTATTTCACTTTGATAAAAGACAACTTGGAACCATATGAAATAGACTGCACTGCTACTATCATTCCATTTTACAGATGAGAAAAGTAGCTCATTTGGAACATAATGAACTAGCTCTTATGGGTTAATCTATGTGCTGAGCTGAATTCTGTATTGTATTTCATTTTCTCTGTCCTTTTCCACTGGATGTACAAAGCTACATTTAATTTGAAAGTTATTGATCTAAAGCTGGCTGCAGAAGCTGTCTCATTCAGACAGTTCCACGCTTGTCAGGAAGACAGGTCTGTCCAGGCAGACCTTTTATTTTGTTCTTTATTTCATTTTAGGCCATGGCAGACCAAATAAGGAGGAAATGAAGTGTTTTATAGCAAATAATTTACTTTTGAATACACATGTCTTGTATGGACAGGCCTCCCAATTTGATGTTAGAAGGGACCACAGAGTAGTTAAGATAGTTAATATGTAGTCAAAACAGAAGCAACTGTATTTCTTAAGAAGGTAAGAGATGAAATGAATATATTAAAAATATTCAAGTTGAGTGGTAGGTAAGAAACTCCTTTTATTCTACCTTTGATTTATGGGGAAAGGCCTAACATGGAAATAATTAATTTAAAAATGTTCTTTATATTAGATATAGAAATATTGGTGTTGAGAAATCTGACAGAGTGTATAGGAAGAAAGAGACAGGAAAATTAGCTAATAAGTAATTTTTCTGAACTGAGTAGAGTTATGGTTAAAAGTATATGGAAACCTCTTTCAAGTATATTCTTTTTGTACCAATATACACTTTTTATGATACTTAGATTTTATAGTGGACATTTGCCTATGCATCCCAATATAATATTTCTTATAGTTTGAGATCAACTCCTATCATTTGTGATATAAGTGGGTGGCTGATATTCATGGGTGTATGTATTTATATGCATTTCTGCATGCTGTACATGAACATAGTAGCATTGTGCATGAACATATTAGCACTGTGCATGTGCTAAAATTTCAATTTTTTCACATGGTAGGTTATTATAAAATAAATCATACATTGGTAGGGAAGGTATAGAAAGCAAAGTTATTTAAAGTCGAATTTTAAAAAGGATTCAAATGTGCCTGGGTGCTGTGGCTCACACCTGTAATCCCAGCACTTTGGGAGGCCGAGGCAGGCGGATCACCTGAGGTAGAGAGTTCCAGACCAGCCTAACCAACATGGAGAAACCCTGTCTCTACTAAAAATACACAATTAGCCGGGCGTGGTGGCACGTGCCTGTAATTCCAGCTACTCGGGGGGCTGAGGCAGGAGAATTACTTAAAGCCAGGAGGAGGAGGTTGTGGTGAGCCGAGATCGTGCCATTGCACTCCAGCCTGAGC